CCTGAGCTCCCCGACCAGGGCGACGCAGTTCATCTTCTACCAGCAGAAAGTTAAGGGACGCAAAGACAGACAAGTCCCTCTGCTCCGTGTCCCCATGCACAGGAACAATGCACACCGAGCACACGTGTGCCAACACAACACCGTGACGATACCCTGTTCTCCGAGGCGGGGAAAGAAACCCACTAACGCGGAGGGTATTTATATCTCTCTCCTATCTGTGAGATGGAGTTTTCGTTAGAAAATAACATGTAAATTCTCAGGACAGAACATCAAGGGTAGTGTTTAAAATATAAAAATTTTCAAGAATTTAAGACACGGTCTATTGTGAGGGGAGATCAGACCAGCTCTGAAAAACATAAGGGCAAAACGCACCCACAGCCAGTGACCAGGACGGAGCCGCAGCCTGAACGCGGACCTCGGGCAGGTTCACCACCTGCACACCCGAAACAAGTCATCAGCAACCGAGAGCCCACATGTCAACAGCAGATATGAAACAGACCACCCCACTGCTTCCTCATTTTGCATTTTTCACTTTTAAAGGGAATTCAGTGCATGAAACACGAGCAAATACGGTAGGGAGTTAAGGCTCTTCACTGCGTTAATGAACCCCTTTAAAACGAAGGCTGCAGGAAGGGCAGTGCGTTCTGACATCATTTTGGGTGCCTCTGCTGATCTTTCTAATCGTCTGTCCAGCCCCGTGCCAAGCACCGGCATCACCTCACTGCATCCTTGCAGCGACGCCACGAGCCCGTACCCTGCCTCAGGTCAGTAAACTGAGGCCCAGAAAAAGGAGTCCGTCCATGGAAAAGCGTGAGTGAACGCGAGGGCTTAGCGGGAGCTGGGAATCTGATGTCCTTGCCTCCCACCCTGCTCCACCCACACGTGTGCTGGGCCCAAATGGCAGATGACTGTGCCTCCGGGAGGGTGATGAGTAACCCCTTCTGGATGGGACACATGTGCACGGTGAACACTTTCCAGAGAAAGCCCGAGGGCAGTATCCTATTTCTGTAATTAAAGGGTTTTATTTCTTCTGCTCTGTCACCCAGATGTAGTACATGGAAATACAGAAATTCACAGGCAATTTCTCAAATGTACTTGGACGGATTCGATACATCCTGGCTGTGAGCACGCCTGCCATATTTAGGCCTGTCCCCCAGGAGGGAGTCACCCTAGGGCAGACACCTCCCTTCCCCTGGCTGAGACCCGGTGAACAGGTACATACATTCAAAAGGGGCAGATGCTGCCATACAGGGAACAGGCAGGAGCCTGGATGGAGAACAGTGGGGGGACTTCCTTCAACATGGGTGACTGGGGAGCCTGTCTGAGAAGCAGATGCCACACTGAGCACAGGGCGCGAGCCTGCGGACACAGAAATGGTTCCGGGCGGAGCGCATGGACGCAGCGTCCAAACAGAACATCTAAGCCAGACACCGCTCGGAGTTCACAAGTCTTCTGAACAGGCGAGATCTTCCAGCCTCTCTCTCCAGAGTCTACAAAGCTTATGTGAAACACTCTTCTTTTTAATTCCTCTGTTTTAAATTTTGTAAAATTGTGGCAAAAGGCAGGTAACATAACGTGTCACTGTAAACATTTCTAAGTCTACCGTCCAACGGTGTCACCATCTCCAGAACCCTTCTCATCTTCTCCACCTGAGCAGACTCTCGATGGGCACTAATAAAGCCTGGGGGTCAGCCCCCCAAACCCAGCACTCTGTGATACCTCACCGCCCGTGAGTTCGCTGCAGGCTCCTGTCCGCAGGTGGTGTCCCCTGACTGACCATTGCCCCACAGTGCTCAGAAACTCAACAGGCGGCACGGCTGAGACACACTGCTGCTCCGGCCACCTGGCGCCGCTGGCCGTCCCTGCCCAGCCACGCAGCCGCTCGTGTGCGATGCCATGGCTGTGTGAGGGCCATTCCCAGACCCGTGGGCCCGGCCTGCTGTGCAGACTCAGCACAAGGCAGGAACTGGGATGAGGTGGGAAGTGAGCATCGTGGAGCAGCCTATACAAGTGAAACCCCAGTTTCAGATTATCATCAGCAATACTGACATGAAAGCAGTTCGTGAATTTTGCTTGCTAGGCAGGTCCACTGTCTGAGTAAGTAAAAAACAAAAATTAAAAAAAAAAAAAAAGAACTGCACACCTCTTGGGGGAAATTGTCAAAATGGGGCCCAGCAGGCAAAGTCCTGTTAGCAGGGCTGTCCAGCGGCCTTGACCATGGGCACCGAGACCACCTCCCAAGCTCCACTGAGAATAGGGGACCATCAGGCAAGAAGTAACAAACGTGTCTACCAGTAAAACCACTGCCCACGAACCACCCAAAGGACAGTAAAAGTCCTGGAAGACAGGTTTCTGCCCCACATCCGGAGCGGAGCACTGCCCGGCTCTGTGCCCAGCTCTTCACAGGAGCGACATAAGGAGGCCATGGTCCAGACAGGTTAAGTGACTTGCCAGGGTCATTGGCCACTCAGGACAAAAGGCTGCATTCACATCTGGGCTGATCTAACTTCAAAGCCGTCACTCTTAACCACACTGCTGACCACACGTGGACACAGCAGGCCTTCCTCAACGTCGCTGCGTGCGTCAGAGAGCACGTTTCAGGAACTTCACGGCGGCAGGTGCAGCAGGGGGCGCTCTGAAGCACAGGAAAGTCTCATTCTGCTTCTGTGAAGGGGAGATTTTCACAAGAATAACACCGGCCAGTCTGGAATGGAAAGACTGGACGGGCTGGCTCCCTGGTTTCCCATCCTCCGAGGTGAGCTTTGAGCAGAGATTAGGGGACAGCAACCCACAGAGGTGCTGAGTGGGGCGCACCGTCCAGCCTGGGGAAGGTGAGGCGCAAGGCTGCCCTGTGGCCAGGAACCGAGCTGGGTGGGCACCGGGCCTCTTGCCGGTGCTCAGGCTTCAACAAGAGCTTATGTCTAGAGGACAACAGATCCAACAGAAAATTCAGGAGTTTAAGTTGATAGGTCTCTTGAGAAAGAAATTTATTTCTCAAGATTTGCTATGGTACTTTCAGTAAGAATATTACGGTCCTAAAATATTTACTGAGATATATATCTCTGCCGAGAACCAAATATGCTGAAATTCTAACATGCAAAATTCAAGTAAGACATCACCCAAGCAAGTCAGTGGAAGACAAGGCATTAGAAAATAAATAAAAATTAAACACGTAAGAAACAGACTGATACGATTTTGTGTAACTATAGCCGTTGCTCAGTAACCATCCCCTTTCCTTCATTATTGCTGGACCCTGGAGTTCATCTGGGACATCAGATGTCTCAAGTCTCAGGATATATTTCCAAAATGCCCTCATGTTAGGTTGGCAAAAGGGATGTAAGTAGAAGTCACTGAGTAGACTTCAGGCAATGTTCTTTAAGAGGGAAAATTCTTTAAATTTCCCAGCCTCGGCTCGGGGAACACATTTTGTCCCTTGCACTTCTGCTTCCTCCTTTCAGGATGTAGAGGTGATGGCTGGAATACAGCAGCCACGTTGTGACCTTGAACATAAAGCAACACCTGAAGAGGAAGACAGAGCAGAAAGAGGGGGTACACGTGCTCTCCCCGACATCTTTCCTGAGAGCAAACACATAACTAATTTTTTGTTGTTGTTAATCTTCACCCAATGATATTATTTCCATTGCTTTCTAGAGAGTGGAAAGGAGGGGAGGGGGACAGAGAAAGAGAGAGAGATACAGGAAGAGAGAGACAGGGAAAGGCCAAGGATAGAACCTGCAACCCAGGTACGTGCCCTTGACTGGGATTCAAACCTGCTACCCTTCAATGAGAGCAGGCCGACGTTCTAACCACTGAACACACTGGCAGGGCCACAACTAATATTTTAAATTAATGTAGTGCATCTTTGTGATTAGAGAACAATTCTTAAGTGACATAATAATATGAAAACCTATTTAAAGATTACATCCATATTTTTGTGAGGAAACGACCTGGAAAATTCACAAGTTGGGAGTCTGATTCCCCTTCCGTTCACCGACTGTGTGCCTGTGTGACCTCCGCTCAGCATCACAGCTAGTCCAGGAAGCATATTTACGGAGCCCATCTCCATGTTTTGACACGCAAGACTTGTGAAATTCAAACATACATGTAGGCAGCCAAAGCATTATTATTTATTAAGGCCTATATTAAAGGTAGAAGATCTTAAAACACTCTCAGGTTCTGATGATTAAAGGAAATGTAATCGTTCTGCATTGGCACTTGATCTTCCACCTGCCAACATCTGCCCGCTGATCCCTTCATCCATATTTGATACGGAAAAGACATTTCAACAGCCTGTCCATCAGCTGTAAACGGAAGCAGCGCACCGACAAACCACAGGACTCAGAAAATGAGCGCTTCCCTCCTCCCTGTGGGCTGGCGGAAGCCCAGAGAGGAAGGCGAAGAAGCCGCCCCGCAGGCTGAGCCAGGACGGCTGGGAGGGGTCTGTCCCTACAGCGGCCCTGCGTGGTGCTCAGGGCAGGTGTTCGTATCCCCATTTCTCCTTGATAAACAGTTTGCTCACAAATGGAGGGACTGACACCCAGGGGCGTGTCTTGTTACAGCCCAGCTGTCCCCCTTCCATGCACTAGATCAGGGTCAAACTGTAGTCCGGAGGCACACTTGGCCCACTGCCTGTTTTTATGAATCAAGTTGTGTTGGAACAGTCATGCCCGTTTGCTTCCATACCGTCTATGGCTACTCTGGCGCGATACCAACAGAGCGCACTAGTTACAACAGAGACTGTGCAGCCCAGAGGCTGGCAGTCCTTACTCTCCGGCCTTTACAGACGGCTCGCCAAAGCTGCCTAAGGTCAGCTTTCCACAGCGTGACCCCAGGTCTGGGTTCTGCTCCTGAAAGACGGCGCATCCTGGCTGGCTCTGGCTTCCATGCCTGGCAACCAGCTTCCTTCGCCTTCCTGGCGAGTCCTATACCCAACACTCGCCACCTGCAAGGTGGATGGCAGTTTTAAATAGTGTACACTATTAGCGTCGTCTACCTCTTACCTTTCGATGTGTCTCACAGCCATAAAAAGCCTGGAAGTCACTGGCTGGGGGCGTGCATGATGCCACAGGACCGCAACACACAGAGGGCAGGCACTGTGGCAGAGAGAACAGAGTGGGCGGGTGAGCAATGCAATACATGCAGCATGTGTACTACATGTAACACACATATAGCACATGGAGCCACGTCAGAGGTGCCTCAGCATGTATTCTGTTCTTTCCCTTCTGCAATCGGCGTGAGTTCACGCAAGTGTGAGATTACACAGTCACGTGCAACCGCCACTGGAACACAGCGTGGCTCATGTGCAAAGTTTGGTTCCTTAAACTTCCATCATTTCTTTTTTTTTAGGATAAAGTCTCGTAATCACAATGTCATCTCATCCTGAGAAATAAGGGCAGGTTATCCATGAGTTCCAATGATGGTTCTGCTTTGGGTCTGGTCCTTTAGTCGCTCAGAGAAGCCAACAGGGTGATGAGAGGAAATAAACACACATGCACACATGTTCTGCACACACACATGCAAAATCTTGCTTGCCACCATGTACAGCTGTTTCCAGTTGTCTTCAAACTACGATAGAAGGAAGCCCTGGCACAGCCTCCCCGCGGAAACAGCCTGTGTGCGCGCGTCTGAGGCTGAGTGCTCAGGGCTCAGTCGGGTAATTAGGATATTTACCAAATTCAACTCCTAGTATGCTGAGTTGCTAACAGAAATCAACTCATCCTCAAATAGTTTCAGAAAGCTTTCTGTGAATGCCAGCCAGGGGCAAAGGTCTGCATGCCAGGCCTTGTCTGCGTAGGTCCTGGGAAGACATTGCCACTGTGCGGCCCTCGGGAGGACAGGAGGGAACCGGACCTGCAGAGTAGAAAGCATGAGCAATTCCGTGTGTGTGTGGTTCTCTTTCAACAGCAAACGCAGGTAAAACTCCATGAATGTATGTGTTTTCTAATCCACTCAGACAGATAAGTAGAAACCGAAAAAGAGATGTGCGAAGCGCATGATTTGAATAGCCACGCACCTGCGGAAACTGCGTGGGCTGAGGTCTGCAGCCCAGGAGGCTGGGCGGCTCCCAGCGAGTGCCTCTCGATAAGAGGGACTCAGGCAGCCCGCTCCCCACGACCTCTAGGTGCCTATGTGAGTGTCAACTGTGTGCCTGATACATTACGGCTTAGAAGCTTCCTTGTCATGTGAGTTTGCCATGGTGTGCTGGTACTGCCCGTCTTCAGCTTGGCAGCTGAAGAGTATGATAAGAATGCATCGAAAATATTTTTAAAGTGAATTTCAGTTGGCAAAAGCTGTGCTCGTCCGAACTCAGTTGATGAACTCGTTGATGGGCACCCACCACCACAAGCTAGGGCCCACTGTCCCCAATTATAAGAGCAAGGAGAGGACAGAGTCAATCATATTGTTTTCCATCAATCTACATGCTTCCTTCAGAGCTGACATTATCCAAACGTGTCTGCTGCTTAACAGAAAGTGATGGGCCGCGGGCTCCGCACAGGAAAGCCGGCTGGGACCACGGCTGGGACCACGGCTGGGACCACGGCAGGGACCACGGCAGGGGCTGGAGCGCTCCCGCCGCCAGTGTCCACCTGAGAAACGCTGTACGCCTGTGAACCACTGCACTGTGGGCCACGTTAATAATGTGCTCACTCCGGACGTTCCGGCGACGCGGAGGGGGATGTGGGTCCGGCCCCGCCCCTCACGGGCACTCACTGACGTGACATTGGTGGGCACGGCGCCACCAGACTCCACGGCGTGGCTGTCCGCCTGTCGCACGCCAGGAGCCAGCGAGCTCTCGCGGCTGCTCAGCACACGGCGCCCCACTAATTATTCAAACAGCGACGTTAATGAGAACCCTCGTGTTTATTTTCAACAGACTATCCAGTGCCGAGCTTCTGTTTGTCTGATACGGTCACTAATTAAAATGTGTTTCATGAATAGTAAATCCGAATTTGAATGTAACAAAGCAGCCCTGGAGAAAAATAAGGAACAGCTGATTGGAAACCCATCCTTACCAGGTCAACTTCTGTTTCTGCTCCAATACTGTCAAGGACAAAGTGACAGCTAGCAGAAAATGCCATGACTATCAAGGAAAGTGAAAGGAATAGTTTTCGTCACGTGTCCATGGACAGTCTTGGCTTCCCAGCGAGGCCGCTGGATACAATGTGGCCAAGAGCGACTCTCGGATAAACCTCACCGACTGTGATGCTGAACAGAGACCCTTTGAAGTTTGTTTTTCTGTGGAACGACCAAGAGCTTTGTTGACTTTACTGTGCTCGTCCAACCTTACAACAGTTTGATTTTTGATGAAACTGTCTCAAATATGATCTTCACAAAATCACTAGATGCAATTGTGTTCTTTCAAAATCTGTTGTGAAACTGTACTATTGAGAGGTGTGCTTTTAAGTGTCTTTAATATCCTCGTTTCTATGCTGCTAAACCTTGCCATCGAGTGCTCTCCACTTTAAATTAAATTTCTATTTTGGTGTGATTAATTTAGTCCTTCATTTTATGGAGTTATAATACTAAAATAGTCATATAATGATAATTTAAAATGAATAACATTTTAAAGAGTGTGCTTAGCTCTAGCAGAGTGGACACCCTGAGAAGCTCCTGGTGCCGTTTGCTGGAAACTGTGCACTTTCAACGAAACAACAGTGGCTGCATTTCAACAAATGTTCTGTCTGCCACAACTGTAACGAGTCTCCTCAGAACTGTGAGTGACTACTGATTTTAAATAGCAAAATAACTGTGTGTCTACACAGACCACCTTAAGAATAAAATGTCGCTGTGTAACTTCTGGGGTGTGCACGCCTGAACTTGGTGTGTGCACACGTGATGTTCGAGTGCCCAGACACGTAAATGCACACAGCATGTGGGAAGCGGGAGCCGATCTCAGACTACTAATGTGTATTTACACACGTATACAGATCAACTGTCCCAACCCAGCACTACCTTCTCCAAATCCTGCTATTTCCATGGGTACCTATTACAGACAGGTTTGCAGATTATTAGCATATCTGTGCAATTTATATATTCAAGCATTTGGCCTCCTTAATGGTACAAGAGGTGGCCAGCCTGTGGCAGAGCCTGACTCATCGAATCCATTCCTTGTTCCTGAGCCCAAAGCTGGGATGTACGTCCCAGCCTCCCTTGTAGTTGGGTGGGGCCCTGAGTTCTGGCCCAACAGATGGAAGTGGGTTTGTTCCTTTCCTTCTAACCCTGAGCCCTCCGGAACCATCCCTACTGCCCTCTCTCCCCTTCATTATGGGCCCAAAGGCCCAGAGGACAAGCCCCAGCCCCTGCTGAGGGTGGGGACCCTGCACAGTCCCTGAAACACCACATGAGCACAGCCCCCAGCCCCGTTCCCCACCAGCCAGCAGAGGGGCCTGAGAAATAAGCCTGCGTTGAGGTAAGCCTCCCAGACTCAGGGATGTTTGCTACAATTGCCAGCATCTTCCCAGACACACAGACAGGCCTTTCTGAATTCTCCCTGGTTCCAAGGGTACCCTCGAATCCCAGGCCCCCACACATATTCAGAAGCACTGTGGATTTGAACAAAACTCCAAAGATACTTTATAGTTGTAGTGATTACTCCTCTAACTAAGCTAAGGGCAGAAAAGAGAGAGGACACCCAAAGGTCATGTGTTAGGTGTGTCTGTCCTTACCGAGTCCCCACCTCTAACGAGGGAAATATACGCCAACGCCATGAAATGCAGACCCAGCTAATGTTTTCCCTGTCAAATGTCTCTTAGCTTTCAATATCCAAATTTTATAGAAAATGCTGATTTCTAAATCAAACATTTTTGGCTGTTACTAAGAAAAGGAAAAATTCTGTGACATCCTCCAAAGTGTAACACAACATTTTAAATAAAATGTGTCAGGTTACAATACAACTGGGGGACACTGGAACCTCTGCGGAGGCTTTGAAAGCCAGCTGCAAAGGGGACGTGTCTCAGATGTTCTTGGTGATTCAAAGAAAAAGCCACATTTAAAAACAAAACCAAACCAAAAGATAACAAGTATATTTTGAAACCATATTAATTGTTGAGTAATTAATATTTTAGACACTTACATTCTTAATGTGAAGGTGTTGAGTGTACATAACGTGTTTTGCTACACGTTAGTCATGTTTTCAAACGGGGCTCACAAACCTCTGTGCAAGGCCAGGCAGGGACACTCCAGACCGCGGGCAGCGTTCTCTCCTGCAACTCACTGCGCCATCCTCCTAGGAAAGCAACCACTGGTGATGGGTGAACAAATGGGTGTTGTGTTCTGATAAAACTTTATTTCCCAACACAGGCGGTGGCCAGATTTGGTCTGAGGGCCAAAATTGACAACTTCTGTTTTAGAAAACTGATTGGAAATTTTGCATATTGACATATAACACATTCTGATTTCTCCTACGTAAAATATGGATTCGGATCTGGTGAGCACTTTCAACCATGATATTTGGTCGCCAGGAGTGGGTGGGTCACTGATGTCCTGCAGAGCGGCCTGAACTTGCTGAAGGTTCAAGAGACCGACAGTCAGCCACACTCAGTTCCCATGTGAGTTCTAAACTGACTGCCAGTCCTGCCTCGAAGTCATGCTACCTTCAAAGGGCTCGTGTGTCCATATAAGGTGTTTAAAGGCATTCCATGGCATTTTGAACAAAAATCCCAAAACTATTGTACCAAAAACATACAGCAAATGGTTTTTCTCAGCCTGCAGAGTGAAGTCCCAGGGTGCAGGTCACGTAGGCAACAGTCACCTCATATCAGTGCCTTCTTTAAAAAAGCAGATTAAGAAATATGTAGATTTAAAATTTCCCTGTGTGCTAGGAACAAGAAATGATCACCTCTAAAAGTTTTGAAATCAGGCAAGAAGTCTCCTCAAACTAGACAGAACAGCATTCCTGAACCTGAAGGCCATTCTCCACTAACCCATTTCAGAGGAGGTGCAATGTGTCCAATGACAGAATATGCCAGAAATAATGTAGCAAATATATTCCCCTATTATTCTCTCAAAAATGAAAAGTTGTTGTAACAAGGTTTCAGTTCACTTTTTTTTAACTGTGGCAAAGTTCAGAAACATACGCACATAGAAAGATGCT